ATGAGGAGAGAGAGGCGTAGATATATACATATATATGTGGACTATATATATATATATATATATATATATATATATATATATATATATATATATATGTGTGTGTGTGTGTGTGTGTGTGTGTGTGTGTGTGTGTGTGTGTGTATTCTTCAGATCATATCGCATTCTTCATATCGCATTGCTGTGTGATCACAGTACAAATCAAGTAGTCAGTTAATTTCTCTTGTTATTAGATATTTATATTGTTTGTTTTTTTGTTAACTGCAGCGAATTTAACGCGTTCGTGATCTTATCTTTATCTTGACCTGGCCTCGCTTTCTCTCAGGTCCGGTCCGTCAGCGTATGAGATGCCTTGTGAGACAGCTCGGTGTTCCTATTAATTGGTTGTTTGTAATTGTTTGCACCATAGGAATACGCGTAGCTCTGTTGCATTGCTCAATGGTGACACGTTCTATAAGCCCTAAAGCTGAGCTTGTAACGTGAATGTTTTGATAAATTTATTATTTTGAGTATAGCCTTAGGATTTTCTCAATATCATAGCGCATAAGGATTCCTGATAAAACCAGGGGATGAGTATATCGCCTTATAGATCTACACTCCGACGTCACGATAGAAGGTACAGCTAAACGTTATTAGTTCGATCGGCAACCTTTGAGTCGGTGTGATCCGCAATTACATCCGTTCAATAATGTAGGTTTAGGGTTTAACCTAGAATCGTTATTCACTTATTAATCACGATCTTCCTACCTTTTATAAGTCACTTGCATGTTTTGGGTAAATCCTAAACGATCGTGTGACGCGTGATAGTTAGACATCCGCAGGGAATGTCACAAGCGCCCATTACAGAGGAGAATGGGTTATTTGTAGATTTTCTGGGCTCATTCTGTTCACTTCATGCGTACGGCATTTTGGGTATAGGGACCCCCCGCCGATGAAGTCTGACATGCAGAGCTAGACATGGCTACCTTGGCATTTCAGTATTTCTGACCCGAGAGGATTTGCTTGCAAGAAAGCTTGCAAATATTTTTTTTCACGTCACCGTTCATTAGTGCGTACGTTCCGTTGCATATCATTAAATGTTGAATTCAGTGTGGTAGTTGGAATAATTTTGTATTAATAGCATTGGTAATTCATTCTCTGTGTGAGCTCACTCTCACTTTAATTCCCATCCATGCTCACGGTCGTTCACACACCCACACACACACACACACACACACGTCGTTGTTGTAGGCACAAAAATCTATGATTATCTCATTTGCCCGCGATTTTGTCAGTCGTGACGAGTGACTAGTACATGTTTTTTTTTACATAAATATCTTCTTTGTGTAACGACAATTGGTTCAAGTAAATCCTTGCGGATTGTCGTTGTCGTTTCCCTTATCTAATCTTATATCTATCTGAGACGGTTGGCAGTTCAAGCCAGGTCCCTGCAGATCGTTCTGACATCTCCCTCCCCTATTTTCTTCTTTATCTTGTGAAAGTAAAACACAAATTGGAAAAAATGAAAATAAAGTAAAAGCTAACATAAAAAATGCAAATTTATGTAAATAATGGTACCTACCATCTCCTCTCTATTGCCTTTCTTTTTCTCTTACTATCCTGGCCCTTATGTTTATGATCTGGACTATACATAGCAGTTGGACCGACGATATCCGACATGGCACCAAAGGAGGACTCTGCTGTAGAAATGGTCACTTTAGGATTCTGTGGGAATTAGTTCACCGGAAGATCACCCTAGGCCTGTGGACCAGGATGTTCGTCAGAGCAGGCATGAAGCCGCCCCAGGATGTAGTGGAAGGTCGCCGCCTGCCAGGACGCCCGTAGAGCCAGCGAAGGACCAGGACCTCCCCCAGCGCAGGTCCCAGTCGCCCCAGGATGCCGCTTGCCTGGACGCCCACAGATCCAGTCAAACTCCAGGAGCTCGTCAGCTCAGGCATCACCCGCCCTGAGATGCCGAAGAGGACGCCTCCTGCCCGAACGCCCGTAGATCCGGAAAAAGATGTGGAGGACGTCTGGACGAGCGCACAGCCGAGAAGGACCTGGACGAGATCTGCAAGGATGCGTGAGCGAGGACGCCGCCGAGTTAGACCTGGACAAGGAAGACGAGGAAGTCTAGATGAATCTGAAGACAAGTAGGACCTGTGCGATACCTTCGAGCACGTGAGGACGTTATGGACGGATGGATTCGCCAAGGACCAGCAAGAAGTGGACAAGGACAAGCAGCCACGAAGATGCACCAAGGACAGCGCACGCGAGAACGAAATGACCAGCCTATATATATATATATATATATATATATATATATATATATATATATATATATATATATATATATATATATATATATATACATGTATGTATGCATGTATATATATACAAACACACATACATACATACATACATACATACATACATACATACATACATACATACATACATACATACATACATACATACATACATACATACATACATACATACATACATACATACATACATACATACATACATACATACATACATACATACATACATACATACATACATACATACATACATACATACATACATACATACATACATACATACATACATACATACATACATACATACATACATACATACATACATACATACATACATACAT